TCTGCGCTTCCTGGACTTGTAAGTCCATTTCTTTCACCAGGTAGGGGAAGTTTTCTGTCATATTTCTTCAAAAAGGTTTTCAATATCTTGCCCTCTCTCTCCTTCTGGTACCCCTATAATTCTGATGTTGGTACGCTTGAAGTTGTCCCAGAGGTTCCTTACACTATCTTCATATTTTTGGAATCTCTTTTCTTTTTTCTTTTTCGGTTGGGTATTTTTTGTTTCTTTGTATTTCAAATCTTTGACTTGATTCTTGGGATCCTCTTTTCTGCTGCTGGATCTCTGTAAATTATTCTTTATTTCAGTCAGTGTATGCTTAATTTCTAGTTGGTCCTTTTTCATGTCCTCCATGGTCTCCCTATACTTATTGAGGGATTCATTAAATTTATCGGCGGTTTCCATAAAATTCTTGAAAAACCTTATAACCGTGGCCTTAAACTCTATATCCAATCGTTTGCTTTCCTCCATTTCTGCCATTTGTGACCTGTTTCTTTGTCTCCGCATTTTGGTTGCTTCCCTGTGTTGATAGAGTGGCTTTGTGTGCTAGGTGTCCTGTAGGGCCCAGTAGCTCAGCCTCCCCAGTTACCTGAGGTGGACACTCTTGGTGCACCCCCTCGTGGGCTTTGTGCACAGTCTTGTTGTAGCTATGCCTTGGTTGTTGTAGGATCACTGGGAGGAATTGACCTCCAGGGCAATTGGCAGCGAGAATCAGCTGCCCTGATGATGCTCAGCTGTGTAGCAATGCAAGCCGCTGTGGGGCCTGGGCCTTCTCTTGGAAGCTCTGAGTCTATCTGGCCCGGCTGCGGTTAGGTAATTACAGGTTGCAAATGGCCGGGGCATTCATATGCAAAAGCCTCTGCCGCAGCCTGGGTGGGGCGCGGTCTCAAGGAATCAAAGGGCTGAGAAAGCAGCTATGGCGGAGCCTCAGCCCTGCCCTAAGGAGTCGCGGGTCCCAGTGTCCCGGCAATGACTGCAAGCACCTCTGAGGGAAAGCTGCTCTCAAGCTCGCCCGCTGCCAGACAGTCCAGTATTTCCCCGTATGAGCCCTGGGTCCCCAGAGACTTCCCGGAACCGGATTTCAGAGCCGTCGGGAGCTTGTGTCTCCCTCCGGATTCAAAAAGACAGCCGCGTCCTCAGGTGCCAGACCCTTTCCGTGCGCGCGCGAGCCCCGTACCTCTGCACGCCACCTCCGCAGCTCCTCCCGCTCGCAGTGTGCTTTTCTCTCCTTCTAGTTGTAGAATTTACACTCAGCCAGCCCTCCTGTAGCTCTGGATGATGTCCACCTTGTGTTTTTGATGCATTTATCGATTGTTGTGGGAAGCAGAAATTTCCCGGTGTTTATCTATGCCGCCATCTTAGTCCCCAGTCTCCACTATAGCCTCTTGATGGATAGTCATCACGTGAACTGGAATGACCATAATCACAATAAGTATAATCTCTTGGTGGTGAAGCATAATCTCTTGTATCACGGGAGCTTGGGTAATCTCTACTTGAGTAGCTGTCTTTAGTAGAATATCCATCATCTCTTGGGGACAAATAAACATCTCTACGGGAAGGCAGGGTTTCCCTTCGAGGTGGGCCTCCATAACTATCTCTTCCACGAGATACAGGAGCTCTTCCTCCCATTCCACTGCTGCTGCGAACTGGACCTGAAGGAGCAGATCTTTTAGCTGGAGGACCCCCACTTCTCAGTGGTGGTCCTCTTTTCACTGGAAGTGGTCCCCTGGAAGAACTCATGTTAAAATTCATGGAATAGCCACCATCATCCATGTGCCCTCCACGTGAGGGAGGTCCCCTGGTTCCTCCACTTCCTCCTCTTCTGCCTCTAAGACCCCTTGGATGGCCTCTGCTTCTTGGAGGTGGAGGTGGTCCACGCCTACCAGTTTCAAATGATGGTTTGGTGGCTTGTTCTACCTTGATGATTTTTCCATCTAAGGACTTTCCATTCATATCTCGGGCTGCATCCTTAGCATCTGCTGGGCTTTCAAAGGTGACAAAAGCAAATCCTCTCGATTTGTTGGTTTCACGATCTTTCATCAAGAGTACTTCCACTATCCGTCCATATTTGCCAAATACAGCTTCAAGGGTTTTCTCATTTGTTTCTGTATTGAGGCCACCAATGAAGAGCTTTTCTGGGCGATCAGCTTCAACCATGTTTCCCTCCTGGTAAGAGTCGGAGGGGTGATGAAGGTTTCAAGCTCCTACGAGCTCACTGACAGGGGCTTCCTAGCTGCTCAGCACAGGGAGGACCACTGGCTCCGAAGACAGAAGAGAGAACCTGCAGGAACTACTGCGCCATATGTTGGGTTCCAACCCCAGCAGGTCCAGGGGTTCCCAAAGGTGTGGATGGAGTCGGCGGAGAAGGAATGACACAGACACAGCATTCAGTTGATCAGCAGCCTAGCCAGGTTCTCTAGCCAGGATCTCCAGCCAAGTTCTGTCCAGGTTCTACCTTTTATTGTCTTGTTACATCTGTATTTATACCAGTTGATTTTAATCCTGTCAATTTCTATTCCAAAGGTTAGGGCGTTTCTTATCTCCATTCCAGGGAGTAAAGATTATGTAGCTTAAGGGTGATTGTTCGTAGTTAAAGTGATTAACTACCTGCCTCGAATTTAGTTAAGGGGTTTTATTCCCTCCCTAACTTCAGGGAAAAATCCCTACCTGGGGAAACAACCTTTCTCGGAGAGGTGACCTTGGTTAAAACACATAGTGCCAAGAAGGTGAGCAAACATATTAAGAACAGTATGCCATATACGCCAGGTCCCTTGAAACATATGCTGTGCAGATGTTTCTTCCCTGCAGTGACTGTGTCAAGCAGCAAGGATGGACCAGCTTCCGGCAAAGACCAAGAGAAGAATGCAATCACTATGGATGCAATTGAACTCTAGGGTTGCTGTCAGAAACCCCAGTATCTGAAATATGCCTCAAGTAAGAAACAGTTGAGAAATGCTGAACAGGAATTCCAGTCCTGGATTCATCACTAATTTGCTTTGGGAACTTGGAGTTTAACTTGTTCAAAGCCTCAGTTTGCTCAGCTGCAATTTGGGGCAAAACACAGCTGTTCAACTTACTTGACAGGAATGTTGTGAGAATAAAGTAGAAGATATGAAAAACACTTTGCCCTTTAAAAGTTCTGTACAAATTCAGGATATCCCCCCTCTTCAAGTTCAAGTCTGAAAAAACAACAACCCACGAAATCATTTTTCTTACAATTACTGTTCATTCAGTATAGTAGACACTAGCCACATTAGCTATTAATTCTTCTTAAAATGTGGCTAGTGCGATTGAGGAACTGAATTTTAAATTTTATTTAATTTTAATTCATTGAAAAAAAAGATACTGGATTCAGTCATTGGAAAACTTTTTTTTTTTTTAAAATGATTGGAACAACTTGGGTATGTGAATTTACTTTTATTATTTATTTATTTCACCACCATTTATCCCCTCTATCGTTTTTAAACTATGCATTTTATGAAATCAATTGTTTCCGATGAGATTTAGTGTTTAAAGTTTAAACTTTAAACTTTAAACTGAGGAGTGCTGCAAATGTAAAGTATACACCAGATTTAAATACCTAGTACCCCCAAAACATAAAATGTGTGGTTTATAATGTTTTCTATGGATTAGGAGTTGAAATACTATTTTGTACATATGGGGTTAAATGAAATGTATCGTTAAAATTAATTTTCCCTTTTTGTACGTTTCCTAAAGTGACTACTAGAAAATTTAAAATTACAGTGTGACTTGCATCTAACTTCTCTCCAGCAGCACCACTGCAGAAGGAGGCGTGAGGGGTGGGTCCTCCTTTCCTTACAGGAACTAGGGGGAGAGGCCATTCCAGAAATAGAGTCCTAAGGCCCACGATCCCAGGCAAATTGCTGGCACCATTTCCTGGGTTTCAGAGAATCAGAGACAGAAGCTCAGAACAGCACAGCAGGGGGCGGGGTTGATTCCTTGCCTGATTCCTTTCCATGTTCAGGCACAAAACACACCCTCTTGGTACGTCTGTCGCTTATCCTTGCCTTGGTAGAATGAGACCACAATTGTTATCTGGGCTTTGATTTGGGGACAACAGCATTTTTGCATTACTTTTATTAGTATTTTTTTTTTATGCTGAATTTACTTCCAGGCCATAATTTTTTGTTTCTTCTGGGATATCTTTTACTTCTGTGCAACCTCCTCTCCCGGTTTAAGAACAATCTGCTGTTTTTCCGTGAGGGGTCGATGTGGCAGCGAGAGCTCGTGTGTGGGTTAATACGCCCGTGAGCTCGGTGTGTTCTGCGCTGCATCTTGGGAGCGAGGTTCACCTGAATGTGCGCAATGACCAGACAGTCTACATCTAAACCCTTTAGGTCAGCTTTACTCTCTGCATTTTTTAAGCAAGTGCAGCAAAAATGCAGCGTCCAGCCCCACTGTTTGACCTGGGCACACCTACCAACTCCACCATTGGCACGATGGAATGGCACACATGGCTTCTGTAGAGGGACATCCTTCAGATACTTGGTGGCTTTTCGAATAGGCATCCCCTTGATGGCCTGGGCAGTTTCACCAGTGTTCTGGAAGTGAACACGAAGACTTGAGCCTCTTGATTGGCATGATTGTGTGGGGGTTTCTGGGTCAGAGGGAATAGAACCATTTTCAGAGGTCACCTCTGGCCGCTTTGGGAAGGAGGGGGGACAACAGCATTTTAATCACTGGATTTCAGGAGAAGCTGGTGCCCACAGAGATATTCTTACAATCACTATGAACTTTATTTTCCTCTTCTGCTGGCCCCCACATGTGGTAGAAATTCACCCTCCGGGCATTTGCTTTTCCTTGGTCTCTCCTCTTTCCCTCCAGAGCAGCCCTGTTTTTGAAATGCACGCAGGCTCCCGGACCGGGATTCCAGGGAAGGCAGGCCCATCCCAGCTGGCCTGCCAGCACATCTGGAAGTGGTTTCGGCGGCCGCCAGCGCACCACCCGGATCCCCAGCTGCTTCGCCCAGGGGTGGAGACACCGGAGCTGCTGCAGAGTCAACGCAAGCAGAGGGAGGTGCGGGCCGGGGAGGAATACTGTCTTGGAAACATAACATTGGCCTTGGACTCTCCGGCCCCTGGGGTTTTCCAATGGGATCTCAGAAGCAGCGGCGGCAGTGAAGGGCAGCAGCCCCGGGCCAGTCGCTATTTGAACGCTCAGCCCTGCAGCTCTTCTGGACCCAGGAGCCCAAAGCCCTGCCCTCGCCGGTCACCAGGTAAACAGAAATTTACAAGCCGGGTGGCAGCCTTTCCGTTTCACCCTGCCCCAGTCCTTTATTTTCTGTAGATGCAAGAAAGTAAATCAGAGGGAGACTGGCCCACACAAACTTTGCCTTCAGGAGGCCCAGCCAATGTTTGCAGCATTCCAGCGGAACTTTTTTTTTTTTTTGTATTTTGGGTGTTGTTGTTTTGGTGGGTTTTTTGTTTTTGTTTTTGTTTTTTTTTGCCATTGTAGCAAATCCAGGACACTCAATGTGCAAGTTGCTCACAACCTGGACTGCTTTGCCTGACCCAGGTTTATCCCCACCCACCCAAAATGCTGCGACCTACTATTTGCATCGTATTTTAAACATGGAAATCAGCGGTTAGCCAGGACACAGATAAATGCTAGTCTAGCATTCAGTGCAGATACGGTTCTGAGCCACAAAAGATGTCATTGATCTGGACTCATGTTTTCGGAATCTGTCCCAGGAAGCTGTTCTGAGGTCCCCAACTCCCTGCCCCCACCGAAGGACTGGCAGTTGTGGAAATCTAAATGAAGCTCATTGTAAATACAGAGTCATGAACAGGACAAGAGCTGAGTCAGTGTTCAAGTGGAAAATGCTTTTGAACTTTCAAAAAATGTTTTCTTATATCCACTTTATGAGCAAGTGTAACATATTGGATAAACCTGATACATAACACAAGAAGGGATACTTAATACAAGAAATGAGAAAGAAAGAGAGAGGAGAGAGAGAGAGAGAAAGGAGAGAGAGAGAGAGAGAGAGAGAGGGAGAGAGAACATGATGATATGTAAACATCTGGCTGTTTTGCCGGGGGTGGGGGGTGGGGAATCAGTACTCTAGCTGTTCGGCCATGTGCAAAGCGACATTGGTTGGTTTGTTTTGTCTTTTCCCCCAAAGTGTTGGTGCTGCGTTCCTATACAGTATCCTGTCTGTGCTACGTAATGAAATTCCTGCCCTCCGTCTAATGCAGTTAGAAGTAGAGCAGTGCGGTGCAGTGGTGAGAACGTGGGCTCAAGGTTCAGACTCCCAGAGTTGAATCTATGCACTGCCACCTAGAAGCTTTATAATCTCTGACTCTCGGGGAGTTAACTTCTCTGTGACTGTTTCCTCATCTGTAAAATGGGACCCAAGGGCATCGTATGTTTCAAGAATCTGTAGAGTAGTGAGGAGGCCACAGGCAAGGTTAGCTTCTCTGGTGGTGCTGATGACGATGATGGTGATGATGATGACAAGCGACCACTCATCCTGCATTGGGCAGCAGCCATGCCTTTGATACATCCTTCTTTCTGGTCAAGTCATCCACATGTTCCTCCCATCCTCACGTGTCTCTCCGGGGCCTTCCTCCTCCCTTCAAACACCTCTTTGCTTTTGTCCCACTCTGGGTCTCTGGATTTCTCCTTTATTCTTCCTCTTTCCCTGCTGAGAGAAAGTCATGCTCAGTAAGCCACAGCACTCAGAGTTTTCATTTCTAGTCCCCAGAGAGCATGATTCTAAAGACTTCCCTTAGTTCAGCATTTGCCCAGGGATGTTCAGAAGAAGACAGACCCATGGGGAAAATGAGCTTCGTGAACCGTATCACCCTCTCAGAAATCTCCAGGTATGATGGCATTTCAAAGGTCCTGAGAAGTCCCGCAGTAGAGAAATTTGCTGAAAGTGGTTTAACGCAGGGTTCCAAGTTGCCCCCTGAATCATGCTTCCCCATAACACCGATTAACATTTCTCGGAGCACTCTGCCATAGCCTATTGGCCATGTCTGTTTTCATTTCGGCTTTTCTTATAGACATCCTACTTCATACCTTCCCTGGTGAATACCTGAGGGGACGGCCTGTTCTTCCTCCCCTGGTCAGGGACCTAAGATGGGTTACATGTGCCCTATTGATATCTAGAAAATCTGGCCAAAAGTGGAAAGCAGGGACCAGCCACCTTTTCCTGCCAAGGGCCAGTGGGCGATTTTACTGGCCATGTGGTCTCTGTTGCAACTGCTCAGATCTGCTGTTATAGTGTGACAACAGCCATAGACAAAATGTCAAAGAATATGTCCAGCTATGTTCCAACAAAACTTTATCTACAAAAACCAGTGCTGGGCAGGATTGGGCCCAGGGGTGTGGTTGTTGGTACCTGATCTACAGCCATTTTGTGAAAGAACGCCTCCTTTCCACACAGGAGAGGGCAGGACGGGTTCTCCACATACTGAGGACTCCCTCCCCTGGCTTCCCTGTCCTGCAGCTTTTGGTGGGTCTTGAGTAAGCCTTCCATGCTACAGTCAAAAGGAAAAAGGCCAGTGTGTTTTGTTGGAAGCCAGATTCCTGAGTCCCGATTTCTTCCTTCTTTCTGTCTCTTCAGGTGCACCCATGCTCTTGTCCTGTTCGTGAGTCTGTAGCTTGGCAGGTTTCAGATGACGTGCTCTGTGAATCGCTTTTGTGCATGTGTACACTTTCAGGGTGCAAGTCTACGGAGCTAAGTTAGATCCCAGAGCTTGTCAGTTGCTTGATGCATAATGGTAACAATTAGCAATGGAAAGTGTTGGCCTGGAGTAGCTATTAAGGTGGTGAAGAATGTGAACTCAGAGCCAGACCGCCTGCCTGTGAATCCCAGGCGTGCCACTCATTAGTTATGTCACCCTTGGCAAGTACCTTAGCCTTTCTGAACTTCAGTCTCCTCACTAGAAACCTGCGGATGACAGCCTATTAGGGTTGTTGTGTGTGAATCGATTGAAGGAATGTTTATAAAGGTGTCAGAACCATACCTGGCATATAAAAACTACTAAGTGTTACCTCTTATTCTAGGTTATTTAACTGAACACGCAGTGCAGATCCATTTTAGAGAGTGGGGGGTTTGTGAATTGCCCAAGATTACACAGCTAAGAAGTGGTACAGAACCAAGATTCAAAGTCAGCTCTGCCTGATGACAAAGCCCATGGTATTTCCACTCAGGTTCATGGCCTGCCGGACTTAAGTCATTCAACAGTGCCTTTTAGGGTCTCCTCTTTCATGTTCCCTTTTGATCCCCCAGGTCCTTTCTAAGGCCTCCCTACCAGAACCCAGGACACACAGGATTACTCAATCACTTAAAAAAAAAAACTTTCTGAGTCTGGTGATAGCATTGGATTCCATCTTAGTTTAGCAGCCCGAAAGCCCTACCAACTGATCTGAGTTGGCATGTAGAATCAAACCCACTAGGAGCTCTGCTTTTTGAAACATTATTCTGAAGAGTTCTTCCCACTTTTGTCTTTTCTTCTAGGCCAGAGCTAATCCTTTTAGCCGCTGCCAGGTCTGAAAACATTCTTCCTAGATTTTGTCACCAGCCCAAACTCTTTGGCATCTGGTAAAATAGCAGCCCATGCTAGGTCTTCAAGGGTTTTTATTATTATTATTATTAATATATTTTTTATTGATTTTTTACAGAGAGGAAGGGAGAGGGATAGAGAGTTAGAAACATCGATGAGAGAGAAACATCGATCAGCTGCCTCCTACACACTCCCCATTGGGGATGTGCCCGCAACCAAAGTACATGCCCTTGACTGGAATCGAACCCGGGACCCTGAGTCTGCAGGCCGATGCTCCATTCACTGAGCCAAACCGGTGAGGGCGGTCTTCAAGTTTTTAGACTTAGTGGCCTCTTCTTGGGTCCAGGCCAATTTCCTAAGCTCTCTTTTTCTTCCTAGTCACGGGCACTGGGACCTCGGCCTTCTTCCCTCCCCTCTTTGCAGCTGTCGTCGTCCCATGCCTGGCTGAGGGGATTCCTCTGTCCTATGCTGGCTGCCGGGCGACTTCCCAGCTCTGCCTTTGTTGCTGTCTTGAAAACAAGCTTACAGGCTCTTTAATGCTCAAGGCTTGCCTACTTATTACTACAGGTAAACCAAAGCGCAGAAGCCATTTAGCCTAGAAAAGCTTTCAAAGGGGCAGGGGACACAGTTCTGGGGCTCCTTGTTGTGATGGTCAGAGGAAGGCTGATAAGAACATGAGAGCCCTCTGCTTTTCCTCCTGGATAAAGACCATCAACAGTGCCCTTCTTCTGGCTTTCTTCCTTAGTGAAGGTGTGCTGACACCTTTCTTTCCACCTCTTTCCCGTTCTTCCTCTCTCCTGTTTCTCACTCATTCATTCCACACACATTTTGAGGCACCCAGAGGTGGGTAAGCCATAGTCCCTGTCCTGAGTCCTCTTGTGATCTGGGGAAAGAGGCTGGCACTCATAATATTAGAACACGGTGCTCTGAGTGCAGGGATGGGGATAGGAGTGGAGATTAGGGGAGCACCCAGGCAGGGTAATCAGGAAGACTTCCTGAAGGAGGTGCTGCCTGAATTGAGACTTTAAGGCACAAGTAACAATTAACTGGGGAAAGAGGAGGGGAAAGGGCATTTGGGGCAGAGGGGACTGCATGAACCAAAGTCCAGAGGCATCAGCTTGGGTGTGGAGGACAGTGGAGGGCTGAAGACTAGCCCTCAGACAGTTCGGTTTGGGCAGAAGGTGTAGCATGGAGGACCTGTGGGCATCTTAGAGTTCCAACCTTAACCCTCTGGTAGTGGGTTTCTGGAGAAGAGCTTTAGGCAGGAAAGGGACACTCAGCATTGTGTTTTAAATCATTCAGTAGAATTCTGCAAGACAACTGGCTTCTCTTCTGAAAAAAAAAAAAAAATGCCATAACAAAATAAAAAGGCAGTTTGGGTGAGGTGGGGTTGATCAAGAGTAAAAGATATCGCCGAAACCGGTTTGGCTCAGTGGATAGAGCGTCAGCCTGCGGACTGAAAGGTCCCAGGTTTGATTCCGGTCAAGGGCATGTACCTGGGTTGCGGGCACATCCCCAGTAGGAGATGTGCAGAAGGCAGCTGATCGATGTTTCTCTCTCATTGATGTTTCTAGCTCTCTATCTCTCTCCCTTCCTCTCTGTAAAAAAATCAATAAAATATATTTTAAAAAAAAGAGTAAAAGATATGACAACCAAACTATAAAATATGGTATTGGAACAATGGGAGAACTTTAATAACACCTGCTTCCCAGATGTGATTAAATTCATGTCGTTTTCCTAGGTGTGATTGTGACATTATGGTTATGTAGGGGAATGTCCTTGTTCTTAAGGGTTGCTTGCTGAAGTAGTATTAGGAGCTGAAGTGTCATGATGTCATGATGACATATGTATGTATGGGGGAGGAGAGAAATAAAGCAAATACAAGTATAGCGGCATGTTAGCAAATGATGAATCTGGTACAGCGTGTACAGGAATTCATTCTTTCAACTTTCTGATAGACTTGAAATGTTTCAAGTGATAAGAAAAATTGAACAAAAAATTAAAGGTATTCCAATGGCATGTATGTTTCCAATTAATTTAATATAATTATCAAACAACAAAAATAGTCACTATTGTCACAGTTGTGCCAGTGATAGATTGAGGAAGGAAAGGGGGCAGACATCCTTGAGGCAGGAAGGCCAGGTGGGCAGTTACTGCAGAGTCAGCGAGTGAATGAGATGAGGCAGCCAGCGAGAGAGATGAGACAGGAGATGGGTTTAAAGAACACTTAGGAATGAAATTGTAGGAATTTGTGATTGACTCAGTGAGGGATGAAGAGGGAGAAGTTGAAGAGGATGCTTGGGCCCTAACCGGTTTGGCTCAGTGGATAGAGTGTCGGCCTGCGGACTGAAAGGTCCCAGGTTCGATTCTGGTCAAGGGCATGTACCTTGGTTGCAGGCACATCCCCAGTGGGAGGTGTGCAGGAGGCAGCTGATTGATGTTTCTCTCTCATTGATGTTTCTAACTCTCTATCCCTCTCCCTTCCTCTCTGTAAAAAATCAATAAAATATATGTTTTTTAAAAAGAGGATGCTTGGAGGACACCAGAGGAGGAGCATCTATGGGGAGGTGCTGTGAACACAGGGGGTTTGAGGTGCTTGTGCACCATCCCTGAGGAGAGTCACTCACGCACCCCTTTTGTCTGTAAATAGTTTTTTACTTTTTTAAATTTTATTGATTTTTTACAGAGAGGAAGGGAGAGGGAATAGAGAGTTAGAACATCGATGAGAGAGAAACATCAATCAGCTGCCTCCTGCACACTCCCTACTGGGGATGTGCCTGCAACCAAGGTACATGCCCTTGACCGGAATCAAACCTGGGACCCTTCAGTCCATAGGCTGACGCTCTATCCACTGAGCCAAAAAGGTTAGGAATTATACTGCCAGGTACTTGTACTGGGCATATGGCAATGAACAAAACAGACAAAATTCCCTGCCTTCATGGAGCCTGTAATCCATCACTGGGAGGGCGGACAATAAGCCAGTAGTAAAATGGGGAGCATGTTGGATAGTGGCGATTGCTGAGAAGTAATCTATGCGTGTTGGGGTTAGGGGCTGCTGACTAGGAGTCTGAGGGAAGTGAAGGCGCAAGCCATGTGCATATCTGGGAGTAGTGTTCCAGGTGGAGGGAACAGCATGTCAGGTGGAGGGAACAGCAAGTGTAAAGGCTCAGAGGCAGGAGAATGTCTGGCGAGGAGGCCAGTGGGATCATGTGAGGTTTTGTAGGCCAGTGTAGGACTTTTGCTGTTACTCTGAGAGAGACAGGGAGGCCTCGGTGTGGAGTCCCACAGGAAGTGTGGAAAGGAGGAGGGATCCGGTTGGTGGGCCTGCACCTCCCATGCACCCAGGCCTCTTCCCGTACAGGAATGAGTCCTAGGGTGCGTTTCCTCCCCTGGAACCGTGTTAACCCAGAGGATCCTCTCCCAGGCTCTGCCCCAGACATTCCAGTTTCTCTTGGCCCCTTATTCTCCTCACGTGGCTGGTCCCTCCAGCTCTTGGCCCTGACTTCCTCCATCAGTTTTCTATCCCCTTCCGACTCTGATCCCTCTGCCAAATCCACATGATCTAGGAGCTGCAGACATTCCCACAGCACCTACTTAATCTATTAAAATGCTTTTGACTGCAAGTATCAGAAACACCCATATATAGCCGCTTAAACAGCAAACACCACTGTCACAGATGCAATGACATGGTGAAGAGGGAGAGAAGGCATGCGGAATCTGTATACAACTCCATACTTTTTAAAAATTAAATAAACCCAGCTTTCTTTTTAAAGCACATACTTCTCAAGGACTTCGCTCTGCCTCACATTCTAAAAGTGGCTTCGGTTTCCTCCAAGAATCTGCTGAGGAATTTCCCTCCTTGTCTCACCACTGCTGCGCCTTGCAGTTCAGTGTGCCACCCTCAGTTTCCGGAAGCCTACTCTTTTATCATAAAGAGATTTCAGAGTTGGCAACCTGCTGGACAAGGGAGAGGTGGCCCCCCTCCTCAGATGAGTCAACACTTATGATTTCTGTGATTCTGGCGTAATCTCAGTAGTTAGAGTAACCGAGCACTCGGGGGTTAGCAGACCAACCTTGCTTGTGAGCTGCACAACTTGATCTGCATGCAGTGACATCTGTTACCTCAACTCACCAGCTTCCTGGGGTCGCCAAAATAGCCTTTCAAGAGCTCCAGCACCTGTGGTTAAAGAAACATAAGCTTTGAAGCCAGAGAGCCCTTCATCTCAAATCCCTGCTCTGCCATTTACTAGCTGTGTGATTTTGAGCAAGTCACTGAACCTCTCTGAGCCACAATTTCCTCATTTGAAACATGGAAATAGTAATATATCCACCGGAAAGGTGTTGTAAGAATTAAAGGTTAGAGGAGGGTGGGGGTAAGGGGGAGAGATCAACCAAAGGACTTGTATGCATGCATATAAGCCTAACCAAAGGACACAGACACCAGGGGGGTGAGGGCATGAGCGGGGTGGGAGGGGGTGGCAATGGGGGGATAAGGACACACATGTAATACCTTAATCAATAAAGAAGAAAAAAAGAATTTAAGGCAAGTATGTGCCTAGATGGTCAGTATAGAGCTGGGTACAAATGAAGCTTTCAATAAACGGTAGCCACTGTAGTCGTAGTATTTGGCAAACATCTCCCTATATGGGCACACCCTGCTGGCCACAGGGAATATATTTGTAAGGATTTTTAGTTGCAAGACACTGAACCTCATTTCAAAGCAGTTTAAAGAAAAAAGGGGGGATTTATTGGCTCAGCTATCTGGCTGACCCAGGGAGGAACTGACCTCAGGGACTCGAAGCTGGGATCTTTCTGGTCTCCCTGCCTCGCCACCCCTCCGCCCTACCCCCATTTTCTCCCCTGGGACTAGATGGCCTTCCTTCATGGATGGGGAGAGTGGGGGGGTTTGTCCTGTGGCCAACGACCATTCTAGGCTTATATTGTCTCATAAAGTTAGCTAAATGCATGTCATCTAAAATCATAAATGGATAAAAAGCACATGAAACCAACCTCAGAAGAATCCTAAGTAAATACTGTTTGGGCTCGATTCTTTCCCAAGTGCGAGCAGGCAAGAGGACAAGGGTCACTGCAAATGCGCTCTGAGCTAGCTCTGGGTATCCAGCCTCTATAGCCTCCATCCCGGGCAAAGAAAAGGACATTGTAGCTGGTTGTTTACACTGAGGTAAGCACCTGAATCAAAGCCCCGTTGAAGTTCCTCCTCGATCACTTCCGACGAGTTCTCATCACACTCTCGCTCATGAGGACACCCTGGGGTGCTGTGACATCTGCCTGTTCTGTTCGGTTCCCGCAGGCTCTCTGTCACATCCTAATTTCTAAAGGGTATTATTATTCCCTGTGTGCTGCCTGCTGCCTCCAGCCACACCTCAAGCTCAGAAGTTCCTTGGAAGGACCTTAATTAAGAAGAATCAACTTAATTTAAAATAGACTTTGAGTTTTCAAGACAAATTGTTATTTATAACAAATTAACTTTTTTTCTCCTAACATAAAGGGAGTCAGTTTCCAGCTCCTGGGGTGATTGGTAACATGCCACAAAGAAATGAATGAACACATAAATGTGACAAAATTTGATTTTAGATTTACAGACTAAAATGAATTTTATAATGTAAAATTCTTTTCTAATGGTTAACGTCATTTTTACATCAAAGCTGCCCATCTATCCCATGCTTTTCTTAATGCCCACTGCTGCTTCTTTTTAAAAAAATTATTTATTGCCGAAACCAGTTTGGCTCAGCGGATAGAGCGTCGGCCTGCGGACTGAAAGGTCCCAGGTTCGATTCTGGTCAAGGGCATGTACCTGGGTTGCGGGCACATCCCCAGTAGGAGATGTGCAGGAGGCGGCTGATCGATGTTTCTCTCCCATCGATGTTTCTAACTCTCTATCCCTCTCCCTTCCTCTCTGTAAAAAATCAATAAAATATATTTTAAAAAAATTATTTATTGAATTTTAGAGAGAGAGGATTCTATTTTAAACAAAACTTTGTTCTTAATCCACAGGTCACAGTTTTTATCCACATGAACATACATGGCTTTGTTACGAAAAAGTAAGTTTAAAAGTTTGAAAATATTATTATTTTTTGATCTAAATAAAGATTCATGTTCCCATCTAATTTAGCATCTGTAATTTCGTATTCTTATTCTTAAAGAGTTATCTCAAATTATATAATCTCAGACTCCATCAAAACCTGGGTTTGCCCCGATTGTAGATCCAGTCGTTTGTGAATCTGGGAAGAAACACAGTGACCTAGTTGTGCTACTGTTGCCCTCAGGGTAGAGTTGCCTGATGTGTCAGATGAAAAGTCAAGCTATCCAGTTAGATTTGACTTTCAGGTAAACTGTGAATAAATGTTTTAGTATCACTATATGACAAATATTTCATGAGACATACTTCTTTTTTTTAAAGTATTTTCTCTGTTAACCTGGCATCAGCAGTAGCAGCCATGGTTGAAAGGGTCAGACGGTAGTGACATGGGCCACTTCCCCAAACTGGCTGTGGCAGGTAAATGTGAATCAGAGGTACCGATAACCTATAGAACGTTGACCCTTATCTTCTGCTTCTCTATAGTTTTGTTTTAAACCAAGTAGTATCTGGTTGTCTCTGGCTGAATCTGACAACCCAGAGGCAGAGAGGAGCTGCGGGTCAGCAAGGTAGGATCACTGAGCCTCCTAACGTAGCTCTGGGAGGCATCCGTGGCTACTGTTCAACTCCTTCCTTCTACGGATTTTACAAATGTGAAGAGAAAAGCCTAGGGGCCGTCAAATAGATTAGTACAAGGCCACTGTAAGTAAATATTCTGATGCACAACAATTGTAAAACCTTTATTGGGATTGCATTGCCTTTGTTAACTCTCAGAATACCCCTGTGAGGTAATGGTTATTATTACAATTCCCATGTAGCAGATGAGCAAACTGAGGCTCAGAGAGGTTAAGTAACCTGTCCAAGGCCACACAGCTAGGAAGTAATAGAAATGAGATTTGAGTCTGACTTCAAATCCCAGACCTTTCCCCTTCTACCAGCATTTTCCAAACTGCAGCCTTTGTGGTGATGTCGTAACTTCTCAGTTTTCAGCATCTGTGTTCCTTCTGTCCAATGCATGACTATTTTCTTTAAATGAACTCATTTTAAAAATCATAAGTGTACTTTATAATAGAAAGTTTATATCTGTACTGAAACTAGAACACCGGTTATCTCCTATCATAAAAATAAAGAAATTATACAACTGTATGTGGTTAGACAATGTTATTCAATTCTGGGTAGTTTTTGTTATCTTCCTGCATATGAAATTGGGACTGATTTCTCACGCTATGATTTAATGTGACTTAATGCTATGAGCACAAACCTCCCCCATCATCTCTGGTACAGCCAGTGGTACATGCTTCCTACTATGACAACACTGTTCTGCATCACCCCACTTCTCAGGAGATCCCAGGGGCCAGGGCCACTGTTCTGAAACAGATGCTCCTGGAGGCTCAGAACTGGAAGACATGTAGGTGGGTCTTCTAACCTCTTACCCAAGGCAAACATTTTCTTTCTTTTTTTTTTTTTTATCCTCACCCGAGGATATTTTTTCATTGATTTTTTTTAGAGAGAGTGAAAGACAGAGAGAAATATCGCTGTGAGAGAAACATAGATTGGTTGCCTCCAGCACACGCCCCAACCAGGGGTCCAGGCCCGGGGAGGAGCCTGCAACCGAAGTATGTGCCCTTGACTGGAATCAAACCTGGAACCCTTCAGTCCTCAGGTTGACGCTGTACCCACTGAACCAGACTAGCTAGGACAAGGTAAAACATTTTCTGTGTGCCATTCTTGACCGGTGACTGAATTATCTGAGAAGTAGCTGGGTGCTAATGGCTAAGAACATAAAATAAGTGCTGGCTCATCACGAGTGTTAAATAAACGTTGGCTATAATTCTAAACAAAGTTCGTGCACAGAAAAGGCAGCATCCTATAGTCATTAAGGTTGTAGCCTCTGCCGTCCAACTCCCTGGGGTTATCCCTGGATCCTCCTGAAACTGCATGTGCGTATCCTTGAGTATCAACAGCATTGCAGGTTAAGTCTTTCCTGCGCATGCCATCTGCTTAAAGAAGGTCCAGGCCACCACTCCTCTGTATGTCAGGGAAGGCAACTCCTTACACGGCTGCTCTGAACTCCTGCTCAATAGGTTGAACTTGTTTCTTTTTTTAATTACAGTTAATCAGGTGCTGCTGTTCCTTCTGATTGTGACCCTCTGTGGGATTCTGTATAAGAAAGTTCACAAGGGGACTGTGCTCAAGAATGAAGCAGGTATGCTAGGTGACATAAGCCAGGCACCAAAAGACAAGTAGTGTGTGATTCCTCTTATGTGAGGTACTTAGACCATCAAAATCCTAAGACAGAAAGTAGAATGGTGGTTGCCAGGGGCTGAGGGGAGGGGAAGATGGGGAGTTATTGTTTAATGGGTAGAGTGTCAACTTTACAAGATGAAAAGAGTTATGGGGATGGGTGGTAGAGATGGTCGGACAATGAGGTAAATGTATTTAATACCACTGAACTGTACACTTAAAAATGGTTAAGATGGTAACTTTTATGTTGTGTATTTTACCACAATTCAAAAAAATATACCCCTTATAATATGGATAAACCTCACAAACATTATGCTAAATGGAAGAAGCTAGATTCCTTCTATCTTACGGTTTTGGTGTCCTCAATAGGTAGTTTCCACCTGTGGTCTAAGGTGGCTGCTATCATAGCAACATTCCAGCCACGGGGAAGTGAAAAGGAAAGAGGGGGGTGGGGGCGGGCGGTGAGCAAGTTTCTTATAAAAGCAAACCCAGTAGTTGTACACATCACTTGAACTAACATCCCACTGGTCGGAACTTGACGACATAGAGCTGCAAGGGAGTCTGGAAAACATTCTTAGCCGTTGGCCATGTGCCAGCGAAAATTCCAACGTTATAAGGGAAGAAGAAAGACTGGATATTGATGAACAATCCACAGCCTCTTCCACACTCTGCTTTCCTTCCCTCGGGGGTGTGGAAGACAAGTTTAATGGACTCGACTGTGAAATTCCTTTGGTTTCCAGGTGAGGACTCTGGGACTCCGGAGGAACTGGACGCTGAGATCCCCGTGGTGATCTGTGCAGCAGCAGGGAGGATGGGGGCTGCGATGGCCGCCATCAATAGCATCTACAGCAACACGGATGCCAACATTTTGTTCTATGTAGTTGGGCTCCGGAATACTCTGTCTCGAATACGGTAAGTTGTATACTTCAGCGGTTCTCAACTTTGGGTTGTGACCCCTTTGGGGGTCAAACGACCCTTTCACAGGGGTTGCCTAAGACCATCGGAAAACACATATATAATTACATATTGTTTTTGTGATTAATCACTATGCTTAATTATGTTCAATTTGTAACAATGAAATTGGGGGTCACCACAACATGAGGAACTGTACTAAGGGGTCGCTGCATTAGGAAGGTTGAGAACCACTGCTATAGATGTTGGAGTTTTCTACTTTTTTTTGATCTTCCTTGTTTTTCCTTAAATGGATTTCCTTTTTTTTTTCTTCTCATTTGAGAAATGCCATTCAAATTAAGAAGGGGATGACCTGAGGTTTATGTGGTGACTTGATAAATGTGTTGCCTCACTAAGGAATTTCTAGCAAAGCCTCACTAATCTGGTAGGGCTGTGTGTCATGGTGCAGAATTGAATTGTCTAATGAACTAAAGAACCCCAATCCTTAAGCAGTTTATATGAAATTCATTCTTTCTAAAATGGTTTCTCTTTTCTTTACTTTCTTAACCTGAAAGAATATTAGTGTAATATAATCATTTTAATATGGCTCAGAATCATATAGATAACAAGCCCAATTTAAAAATTCCTTTGTCACTAATTATAATTTTTGAACTGCAAAGTGATATCTTTCATGTCCCTCACCACACTAATAAATAAATTGGAGTTGGATTGAAAAGAAATATACAGAAAATCAAATTTTAAATGTATTATAAAAATGTAGACTAGCCCTAGCTAGTTTTGCTCAGTGGGTAGAGCATTAGCCCTCAGACTGAAGGGTCCCGGGTTCGATTTTGGTCAAGGGCACGTTCCTTAGTTGCAGGCTCGATCCCTGGCCCCAGTTGGGGCATGTGCAGGAGGCAATCAATCGATGTGTCTCTCTCACATCGATGTTCCTCTCTCTGTCTCCCCCCTCCCTTCCACTCTCTCTAAAAATCAATAGAACAATATCCTCAGGTAAGAATTAACAAAACAAAAAGAAAAAAGACCAGAAAGATCTCCAGTGTTAACAGTGACCATCTCTGCGGAGGATGGAATATTTGGGAAAAGCAGTGATGAAGGGAATTTCAAGGTATCTCAAGTGTTATTCCCATCAGTTACAAGAAGAACGTATTTACAGATGGTTTTTATAACCATATTTGTGGGTAGTATCAATATTAGGAGATACTGAGATATGTAAGACATTTGCTTCTAACCTAAATGGTCCTTGGTTGCTATGGGTTTTGGGGGCTTATATGTGCTTTCTGGGTTTTTTGTTTTGTTTTGTTTTTGTCTCATTTGTCACTCTTCTTATAATTTACTGTTGCAACATGGGATCATTTAGTCTGCCCCTCTGTTATCTGTGGATATAGATAACAAACCCAAAGGATGGCTTGTGTGATATGTTCTGAGTAAGGGTCTGTACTTGAACAGTAGTTATGAGCTTCAGGATTATATGACATTTGAGCAGGGAATGATTCCCAGTTCACCACCCCTTATTTTGAAATATTTAAAAAACTCTTTTCACTGAAGTATAACACAAATACAGGAAATTGTATAAACCCATGTACAGCTTAGTGAATCATCACAAATGTGTAATAGACACACCCTTCAACAACCACCACACCAACACTTGGTACAGTCAGTCTTTTTAACTTTGCCATTCTGAGGAGTGCCAGCAGTGTCTCATTGTGGGGTTCCCTTATTTCTAATGAGGTTGAGCACTTTTTCACACACTTCTTGGCTGTTTGGATATGCATGCCTGAGTCTCTTGCCGATTTTTCAGTTGGGATGACTGACTTCTTATTGGCATGGCTGCCTCCCACCTGCAGCTTTATTGAGAAATAATTGATATAATACATTGTGTAAATGGCTACTTTTTATGATTCAAATTGATCTAAATTTTGTTGGGAAGATTTAATTCCTTTGTCAATTTAAAAAAATATTTTTTATTGATTTCAGAAAGGAAGGGAGAGGGAGAGAGAGATAGAAACATCAGTGATGAGAGAATCATTGATTTGCTGCACACCCCATACTCACAGCCTGTGAGTAGGGGATTGAGCCTGCAACCTGGACATGTGCCCTGACTGGGAATTGAATCTTGACCTCCTGGTTCATAGGTTGAAGGTCAACCACTGAACCATGCTGGCCAGGGCCTTTGTCAATTTTTAATCAACAAGAAATACTTCTATGTGTGGCTTACGTGTTGGAAATTTTATTTTGAGATGATTTCTTACAAGAAAACTCTTATGAGTTAGATTAAAAGATAGATGTTCTGGCCTGGCCTGGCCAGCGTGGCTCAGTGGTTGAGCATTGACCTAGGAACTAGGGGGTCATGGTTCGATTCCCGGTCAGGCCATATGCCTGGGTTGCAGGCTCAATCCCCAGTGTGGGGTGTGCAGGAGGCAGCCGATCAATGATTCTCTCTGATCATTGATGTTTCTATCTCTCTCCTTCTTCCTTCCTCTCTGAAATCCATAAAAAAATATTTTTTAAAAGATAGAAGTTCTGTAAGACTGAGAAAATGTGAGGGGAGAAGTCAGGGGATGAGGAGGGATGGGGAAGACTGAGAGACAGAGACAAAGAAACACAGGTAAATTCAAATGGCCCTGGAGTGACCTGACTGGTTTGGCGCAGTGGATAGAGCGCCGGCCTGCGGACTCAAGGGTCCCAGGTTCGATTCTGGTCAAGGGCATGTGCCTTGGTTGCGGGTATATCTCCGGTGGCGGGTGTGCGGGGGGCTGCTGATCGATGTTCCTATCATCGATGTTTCTGACTATCCCTCTCCCTCCCTCTCTGTAAAAAATCAATAAAGTATTTTTTAAAAAATGGCCCTGGAGTCAAAACGGCAGGGTAAAGGTAATGTCAGTCACCGCAGAAGGTTGATAATATCCCGCTTTGCTTCATAATATTACAGAGTTGCTGACACGTGACAAGGATGGTACTGGCAACTACAGATGCTGCCTTATAAGAAAGGGGGAATGCTACTAGTATGTTCTTCCAGTTACCTGTGGAGATGACATAGATGTGGGGAGATATTTGGTTATTACTATTTTGTTTTATTTCCTTTGCAGAAAAAGTTATGTGAATAATAATAATAATAACGGAAAGATTTAAACCAGACCAGATGGGAGGAAAATTGGGAATTACAGACTAAACTCTACTAAGGTTACATATTTTATTTTATTTTATTTATTTATTTATTTTTAAATATATTTTATTGATTTTTTACAGAGAGGAAGGGAGAGAGATAGAGAGTTAGAAACATCAATCAGCTGCCTCCTGCACATCTCCCACTGGGGATGTGCCCGCAACCCAGGTACATGCCCTTGACCGGAATCAAACCTGGGACCTTTCAGTCCGTAGGCCGACGTTCTATCCACTGAGCCAAACCGGTTTAGGCTACATATTTTATTTTTAACTTTCTAAGGAGCCAATGGATTGAGGCAATAGTCAAATTGAGGTAAGGTGGGATGTGTATACTAGAGGTTGTTTTTTGTTTGTTTGATTTTTATCTCCTTAGAAAATGGATCGAACATTCTAAATTGAGAGAAATAAACTTTAAAGTCGTGGAATTCAACCCTATGGTCCTCAAAGGGAAGATCCGACCAGACTCAGCGAGGCCGGAGCTGCTCCAGCCTGTGAGTAAGACTGTGCTGTGCTGGGGGTGGTCCTCGGTGAGCCCCTGTTCTGTTCCGTATGGAGTTCTCGCCACTGGGATGCAGACGGAATAGTTCTGAAGCCTCACAGTTGTTAGATCTTCACCAAACTCTGCTTCTTTGTGATTTGTAAGTCACTTGCTTCTGAAAGGATTTAAGATGGTTTACATCAACATAACAGAGTAGTCAAGGAAGGAATGACGCTTAAGAACATGTAGGATGCATTTCTGTGTGTGGATATGCCTGAGGGGGTGGGGGAAGGGGCCAGGTAGGGAGGCCAAGGAAAAACATTCCCAACCCCACAGACTGCTGTGATTGGGCATAACATTTATCTTGGAATATCCCAGCAACCAAGGAAATCTGGTAGCATGATGGATTATATACTTCCTAGTATCGACTAAGATAATATTTTCAGAAGACACCAGCTCTTTTCCTAGCTTTGGAATCTTAAGGTATTTTACTGCAAGGGTTCTTACCAAAGGGACCGACTCTCCCCTGCAAAAAGAGTGGTGTCGATGGCAGATTTACAGGAAATGTAGCCACCTTCTACATATAATTGCTACTTAAACCCATCCTTGAAAATGGACTCAATTCTAAGCCCTCTGCCTAATGACATGATCTTCCCCCAGTTCCAGATATTTATTATTGGAGCGCCAGCTGGGCTGGGCCTTTGGATTAAGCTGTGTGGTGGCTAATAAACTCCCACTCTCTGCCGATGCTCCTCCATTTTCTGGTTCAAGGAGCTGAGGTTGAGCTTATAGTTGAGGATGGTGCCCGTGTGTGTGTGTGTGTGTGTGTGTGTGTGTGTGTGTGTGTGTGTGTAAGGCTGATTTAGCTCACAGCGGTCAAATTACTGAATGTAGAGGGAGACAGGCAATTTGTGGCCTGAAGATTCAGGAGGAAGCCTCTGCGACTCCCACTGAACCCCAGCACCCTTGGAAGACACTGTGCCATGTGCCTCTTCTCCACTGTCGCTTCTTCTGTTGTTTCACAGCTGAACTTTGTTCGGTTTTATCTCCCTCTGCTGATCCACCAACATGAGAAAGTCATCTATTTGGACGACGATGTCATTGTGCAAGGTATACTCGCCGACTGCCCGGAGCACTTGGAAAAGGAGCCGCTGATAAGTAGAATGACTGTCTGTCTTCATTTTCCAAAGAGTTAGCTGCTCAGTGATTTTTTTTCTGCTTATTAAATTTAGGACTATAGTATTGTTGCAAATTCAGGAATATTTTGAAAACAGGGGTTGATACTTACTTCCCTGGACAGTCCAGTTGGCTTTTTGAGAGCCACTCTCAGATTGTTAAAGATTGAGATAAATAGCTTGGCTGCCTTTCCATTCTCTGCACCACTAAAATGTATGGAGTGATAGTCTCACTGATGACATTCTTAGAACTAAGTTTTAGTGTTTAAATGCAAATAAGAAAGCCCTGGCCGGTGTGGCTCAGTTGGTGGAGCATCGTCCCATGCACCGAAAGATCACCAGTTCAGTGTTTCCGAGAGACAACTCATCAACATTTCTTCTCACATCAATGTTTCTCTCTCTCCCTCTCCCTTCCTCTCTGTAAAATTAATTGAAAACGTATTAAATGCAAATAAGATAAGCATTGGTGGGGTACCTACATAGCAATAGAAATAAAGACATTTGTCCAATGCCCAGCTGAGCTTCTTATCAGGTGGCTTTCTAAATTGAGCTGAGCTATTCTTATTCAGTAAATCGCCAACCACATGAAATCGGGGGTCACACACTTCTCCCCCACAGCAAAACCAGGGATTAGCTTAAACTCTAAGGCTCTATACAGCCCTAAAACTCATGCTGCACTCTCTGAACTCCTGGTGTTTCTAAACGCAGGTGATATCCAGGAGCTGTATGACACCACCTTGGCCCTGGGCCACGCGGCCGCCTTTTCAGATGACTGTGATTTGCCCTCGCTTCAGGACAGGCACAGACTTGTGGGGCTGCAGGTGAGCACACTGTCTCGGAAATCCTGCCTTCACCCCTCCCCTCCCCGCCCCCCCAACTCAGAATGAGTGCAAGCTACCATCTGGATTGCTGGAGGCGGGACCCAGGGGCCTGGGCTTCCGATGGACACCCCAGCTCCACTCTGTGGTGACTCCCAGGCATGTTCCTGAACCCTGCAGGAGCCACTTTTCTTATCTGAAACATGGCAACAATAATATCCATGTTATCGTGTCTCTGTGAGCTGTGATGAAATAGCGTGTCCGGTCTTCAGTGAATGCACCAGGAATGATAGTTATTATCTAGGTCCCTCTTAACCTCCCTTCTGTCAGAGGTGGTGTTTTCTGTAAAAGAGACTTGCTGAGTCTTTGGTTCTGCTTTCAGAGTTTTAGCCATTGCTTCCCTATCCCCCCCACCCCCACCCCCACCCCCGGTTAGAGGGAAATGCTGATTTTGTTCAAGGGTAAAGAGCTCCTTACCTGGGTGGAAATGAGAAAAGGTGAACCTGTACATAATACTGAAACCAAAAGAATGGCTTTAAAATGCAAGGTGTTATTAAGAATCGAATGTTGTTCTTCAAAAAAGTTCCAGGGAATAATTTTTAAATGGTGACATTCAAGAAGTGACATGCTTTAAGGCCTACGCTCTGGGGTCAGACCCGATCTCGGCTCCATCACCTAAGTAGCTTGAGGCAAGTTACTTAACCAATTGTTTTCTCCTTTATTTGCCAAATAGGGGGGAGTCACTGTGAGAACTAAGTTAGTTAATACATGTGAAGTTATGGCACACACCTGATGAGGTAATGCATGTGCAGTTCTTAGAACGGTGCCTGGCACATAGAAAGTGCTCGAGTATGTCTGTTACTTCCGTGTCATGTCTGGGCACTCCACTGAGGTAGATTATGGCAGCCCACGTGTGTGAAACATTCTGTCCTGCCTGGTGTTACATTCATTCAGCTATGCACCCAGTGCTTCCTATGTGCCTGACAGTTTTAGGTTCTAATAATACCGCAAACAAAACTAAAATCCCTGCCTTTGCATAGCTTACATTCTAGTGGGAAGACAAGTAAGGTACTTAACAGAGGATCAGGGTGGAGGTAGGCTGTATGTTAGGGTGACCATGGAAGGCTCCACTGAGATGGTGTCCGTGAACCAATACCTGAAAGAATGAAGGGAACCACTTAAGCAGGGAGAACAACATTCCAAGAAAATGTTGCCAGCAAGTGCAAAGGTCCTGAGGCAGGGGTGTATCTGGCGGATTAAAGAACAAGGTCGATGTGGCAGAGGGATCCAGGGGGAGAATAATGGACATTGCGGAGCAGATGGCGTAGGGCAGGGCAGGCCATGTTAGGAACTGTGGCTTTTACTCTGAGAGAGATGGAAGGCACTAGAGGAGCTTGGAGCAGATGAGTAACATAGAGACAGAGTGGGGTTGAAAGGGGTGGAAGAAGCAGGAACACCGGTTAGGAGGAACGTGCAGAAATCCAGTGAGTGTCATTATGGCCCGGACAAGGAAGGCAGCAGGAGAGGCAGTGGGATGTGCTTGGCTTTGGGATATATTTTGGAAGATGGGACCAACAGGACTTGCTGACAGATTGGATGAAAAGTGAATGAGACCAGTCAAGGATGACCTAATGACCCTGGGTTTTCTGCCCAAGTTACTAGAAAGACGAGGTTGCACTAACTGAGATAGGGCAGGTTGTAGGAAAGCACATTTGGGACAGGATTAAGCATCCAGGAGGAGACACGGAGCTGGCAGGTGGAGCAGGAGTGGGATATCCAGAGGAGAGGTCAGGGCTGTCTACACGGATGGTGTTTAGAGCCATGAGACTAGATGAGGCTGTCAGGGAGTCAGTGCTAGAGAAGAGACAGGTGCTGGAAATGAGACTTGGGGAACCCCGCTTTTAAAAGTTGGGGAAACAAGAGGAAACCAGCAAAGGGCTCTAGGAAATGGCCAGTGACACAGGAGGAAACCCAGAGACACCACACCATGGTTTCAAGAAAATGGTTGTTTCCAGATTGTTTCCCATGTGGCACACATATCCTGTTCCTTTACAGAACACCTACATGGGCTTCCTGGACTACAGGAAGAAGACTATAAAAGACCTTGGCATCAGCCCCAGCACGTGCTCGTTCAACCCTGGTGTGATTGTTGCCAACATGACGGAATGGAAGCACCAGCGTATCACCAAACAACTGGAGAGATGGATGCAGAAAAATGTGGAGTACGTGCACATCTGTCATTTTTTCCCCCCTGTGCTTGAAAACAAAATTATACAATGAATTTTCTATGCATAGCTCAGGGGTTAGAAATATTTTATAGACATCTTAGGTCAGACTTTCTCACTGGGGAAGAAAAGGGGCAATAGATGAAAATATATTCTCAAATGATATGTCAGAGGAAGCAAGATCCTGCGGAATCCTTATAATACAAACATTTTTCTAAAAAATTATTTAATAATGCGACTGTAAATCTTCTCCCAGAATCCTACTGAACCTTTTCCACTGAAAATCACTTACCTTAGTCGAGTTCCTCCTTCTTACAGAAATTTGTTTTTAAGGGTTATTTTATGAAGTCAACTTTGTTTCTTAGGGTTGAATTTTTAAAAATGTATCATTTTTCATTACTGAAGTCTTAAATAGAGGATTAATGCTAACACAATCACTATGATCATGTCACTGTATTTCCTTGCCTGCTTTTTTTCTGGATATTTTTAATGCCACCATACCTTGAATTTGTGAACAAATTTATTCTAAATAATGGAGGATCAGAATGTGATCTTCTGTGTTTGCCATTAAGAAGCCTGAGAATTAAAATGGCAAAATATTAACACCGTGAAACTGGTACATGCAAGTTCATGGTTTTCTGCTTATAATTTTGTGAAAGTTTAACAATTTTCAAAATACAAGGTTGGAGGAAAGTGCAAGATTATAGTCTTATTATATAGTGAGAGACTGTCCTGCATCTTTTAAAAGGATTAGAGTCTTCTTTATCTGAGTCTGTGGGGCTCCAGGCTTAAAATATTTCTTTTCTATTCATTTTCATAGGGAGAATCTCTACAGCAGTTCCCTGGGGGGAGAGGTGGCCACCTCTCCAATGCTGATTGTGTTTCATGGGAAATACTCCACCATCAACCCCCTGTGGCACATAAGGCACCTGGGTAAGCACTGTGGAAAAACCATGCAAATGTGCATTTTATAGATCGCTTGAGCGGGAGGTTGGGGAAAGTGTGCTAGAGCACCAGCTTCCTCAGTCACATCCTCCATGTGACCTTGGAGATTACCTTGGACTCCTTATTTAACCGTCATTGCTCAGATGTGCAAATGCAGCTGATAAAGATGGCCTGCCTGAGAGGTGTGTTTCTAGGAATTCATGAAAAGCAATTAGACTCATGCTTAGCATACACATAGGACGTGCCAGTTCATTAACATTAACTATTGTTAGAACTTTCACTGTGAAAACTTTTTCATAACTTTATTGAACTCTTTGAAGTGACCTACCGTGGACAAAACCAAATGAATTAGCATAATGGTTTATGATACATTTATCTAGCTGGCAGGGTATCTTCTTTTTTCCTCACCAGAGGATATGCTTTTTATTGACTTTAGAGAAAGGGAAGGAGAGAGACAAAGGAAGAGAGAGAGAGAAATATCGATTGGCTGCCTCCCATACACTGCTTAACTGGGAATTGCACACACAACCCAGGTGTGTGCCCTGACCGAGAATCGAACCCGCCACCTTTTGGTGTATAGGACAATGCTCCAACTGAGCCACACCGGCCAGGGCTGGCAATGTATCTTTCAAAGAGAAGTTGTTTACTGGTTGTGTCCTATATGTATTCACTCTTCACTACAGCAGTGCAGGCTCTAGACCAGTGATGGCGAACCCATGACACGCGTGTCAGAGGTGACATGCGAACTCATTGTTTTGGTTGATTTTTCTTTGTTAAATGGCATTTAAATATATAAAATAAATATCAAAAATATAAGTCTTTGTTTTACTATGGTTGCAAATATCAAAAAATTTCTATATGTGACACGGCACCAGAGTTAAGTTAGGGTTTTTCAAAATGCTGACACGCTGAGCTCAAAAGGTTCTCCATCACTGCTCTAGGGTAGGGGTTGGGGTCCCAACTCTGCCTATGGTCCTGGGCAAGTTCTCAACTTCTCTGTGCCTTACCTTCTTCACTTGTAAATCAAAGCTAATAGAACCTTACACAGTTTTTGTAAGGAATAAATGACCTAACATATACACTGAGTGGCGAGATTATGATGACCGGCCAGATTATTCTGTCCACCCCCATCAGTACAATGAAGTGAATTAGTTATGCAAAGAATAGTAATCATAAAACCTTGAGAGTATTTGCTTAGGAAGTTTTCAATATTCAGTATTTTTGGAAGTGTCAATGAAATACTGATGGGATGGTCATAATAATCTGGCCGGTCATAATAATCTGGCCAATTAGTGTATAAATTGCTTAGCACAGAGACATTCACATTCACTCAAACACATGGCCACAACCCTTTAGCTAAAACCACTGAGCTGGACCTATTTAGAAATTGAGAATGATTTTTGAACCCTAAAATGCATATACTTATGTTATGCAATTCCCTGAGTGGGATCTAGGTTTTGCTGCCACAGAAGTTATTAGAAATTCTTTTGTTTTCAGACATTTGGGGATGATTACAGACTTGGAGACAATGGATTATGGACTTCTATTTGCCAAGTGCCCATTGCTTTTCCAAGTGCTGGGCCCAGTCCCGACGATAAAGATGAACAATCCTCTAAGATGGTACTTCCCCTTACTCTGCCTTTTACAAGGACAGACAAAACTGTGGAAGCTGGGCTCCTGTCTCCTTAGTGATTCCGTCTGGATGGCTTCTGCCTCATTCCCAGACTCTTCCCCGAACTTTCCTGAGCCTCTGTAAGCACATAAAAGCGACACAGGGAAGCTAAGGACACTATTGTTCCGTCTGATTTGATTTATATTGATGCTGAGTTCACTGTTAGGTCAAATATCAACATTTCAATGTAATGAATGTGCAGAAAATCCCATTAAAGTAGAATGTCTGTGAAAAATGTTGTGTAGGTACAGCTATGCGGAGCTTGGATCGATAAGGTTGGAGCATTTATGAGCTTGGAACAGAGACTCAGAATTACATTTTATGAAATATCTAACTTACTGACAAGTAGAAAGCGGCAGCATCTTCCCAAGGGAAAGAAGTCATTTTTCTCTGTAGAAAGTAGTCATTTTTCTCTGTAGAGCGGAATGTCGTCTGTGCTGAGGGTTTTGGAATCAGAGGTGGTCTGCCAAGTGAATCTACACAATGATCATTTCAGAAATATCTCGATTTGAGAGTGTTCTGAAAACAGAGAGCAATGTAATGCTAACAGTGTTAAGTTTGGGTCTAAACAGGGAGGCTTAAAATATTAAAAATTGACGAAACGTATTTGGCTAAAAGCAAAACTGCGAGGCCCTCTGGTCCTCCCGTCAAAGAGCTGAGAGATGAGGTTCTACTTAGTGAGGCTTCTGGCAGGAAGGTCCCTCTTCCCAAATGAGCATTTTGTTTCCTCTGTGTAGACTCCACGGCAACCCGAAACGCTGAGCTCCTCTCCTACCCACCTTCACAGCTGTGTTTATGAATAACAGAAGACAGGCTTTTGGTTGTCTCACATCGTATGATAAACTGGCTATTCACCCTCTTTACTCAATAGACTGTTGTTTTTTCAAAAATATCAAATTCTCTTTCTTAGGAAAAAAAACACTGTAGAGGATATTTAAAAAAAAAAGACTTACATTCTCAAGATCTTAATGTACTTCTGGAAAAAGTATTCTAAAAATATTTGAGCAACAGCAGTATTAAGGTAAATGCATACATAGTCTCTAAGTGAATCTTCTGAGGGAAATAATACTCACATGGAGACAGCTGTTTGTTAACAAGTGGATCTTATTCTTGGTCACTTTTCATATAGTCAAAATAAGACTGTTTAAAAAGAAAATCTTGCCATATTGTTGGATAATGTAGCAAGATAAGAACTCCTATAAACTCTGGATGGGAGGCAAACCGTTATAAGTTCTTCTGGGGACAATTGGCAATCTCTTACCAAAAATTAAAAGGCACACACCCTTCAATTTCACAATTCCACCTACAAGATTCTTATTCTACAGATATACTATTTGTATACATGCATAAGACATGCATAGAAGACTGTCTCCTGTAGCATTGTTGATTCTAGTGAAGGGACAGAAACAGCCAAAATGTCCTTAATAAGAAACTCAGTAAATAAATAATCATAGATGCGTTCTATGTAGTCATTAAAAATAATTCAGCCCTGGCTGGTTTGGCTCAGTGGATAGAGTGTCAGCCTGCGGACTGAAGGGTCTCAGGTTCAATTCTGATCAAGGGCACATGCCTGGGTTGCGGGCTCGATCCCCATTGGGGGATGTGCAGGAGGCGGCCGATCAATGGTTCGCTCTCATCATTGATGTTTCTATCTCTCTCTCCCTCTCCCTTCCTTTCTGGAATCAATAAAAACATTAAAAAAATAAAAAAATTCAGTAAATCAATGTGTAACTATGGAAAGTTTCCTAAGAGTAATTTTAAAAGGCAAATTACAAATTTTTAAAAATGCATATATAACATGCATGGGTATGTATATACGCAAATACATACTATATACACTTACACACATACTGGTGTACAGGTAGAATAGTTTTTCATGAGAACCTCAAACCATGGTCACTTTATTATTATATTTTAAATATATTTTTATTGATTTCAGAGAGGAAGGGAGAGGAAGAGAGATAGAAACATCAATGATGAGAGAGAATCAGATTGGCTGCCTCCTGCACGCCCCCTACTGGGGATCGAGCCAGCAACCCTGGCATGTGCCCTGATGGGAACCTCCTGGTTCACAGGATGACGTTCAACCATCGAGCCACACCAGCCAGGCAAACCATGGTCATTTTAGAGATACAGGGTGGGTGGTAAACTCTTCATTGTATAACCTTTAATTTGTTTACTTTTAATTTTTTTTTTATAATGAACCTATATTCAACTTTTAATATATAAAATTTTATTTTCTAACAAGCCTATTCTTTTTCTCTAAACACAATAAAGGCTGGAGTCCAGATACCAGATATTCAGAGCATTTTCTGCAAGAAGCAAAATTACTCCACTGGAACGGAAGACATAAACCTTGGGACTTCCCCAGTGTTCACAATGACTTATGGGAAAGCTGGTTTGTTCCCGACCCTGCAGGGATATTTAAACTCAGTCACCAAAACAGATGACACTTTAAATATTTTCTGTATAAAAACGTGGAATTGTCCATTTGCAACCTACTATAACATCATTCTTTATGAACAGTACCTTCGATACGTATGATCCACAATATGAAAAACAGATACTACTGTGTGCAAGTAATACCTTGGATCACATAGGTATTGATTACTTCCTTAAGTACAAGCACTGAGTGTGGAAATCAAGATTATGTGAGTGAAATATATTGTTGGAAAGAAAGAAACCCATGTAGGTTCCAGCAACCAATTTGCTTAACTCAGTGACAATTATATCTAAAACTTTTCAAAATTTCTACATGTATTTTTCACATGTAGGTATTTTTTTAACAGGTTGCCAGTCTTGTGTTTTTGTATTACACTTAAAACATGAATGCCTGAAAAATAAAATAGTCATAGATTTTTAATGATTCTCATTGTATATAGTATTCTATATGTTAAATATAACAGAAGGCAAACTGATCTCAGGTTTAAAGGATGAAAGAATACCAGTAAGTCTCACTACAGAAAAGCCTGCAACTTAAGGATAATCATTCTTATATTTTTTATTGTAAAAATCATCAGACTTTCAAATGAATTTAAAAACTTTTTCAATATTTTTTAATGAAAAAGTCTCATACTGTCATGTATAGAATATATCAACATTTACTACCTGTCATTTAATGAAACACACCATTGTTGTACGTTTGGAAAGTCCTTAAACCCATTCTCTAGTAAGTGTCCATAATTTAAAGGGTATTTTCTCCACTTAAATAAAAAAAATCCATTGTAAGGCTTACAAATCATTATATACCAAAGCAATACCTAGTTACATGCTTTACACAGTCCCATGAAAAAATAATTCAGTTGTTCCTAGTCCCTGATGCAAGGCGCTTCAAAGCACCCGCACAAAACATCCATGTAAACAGCAGTACAGTACATGATTTAAATAACATGAATGACTCCTACACAGCTTGATCCAGACTAAAGGAAAAATAAAATTCATCACAGCCAGCAGCTAAACAGCATGTTAAGATTCACAACAAGGATTTGTTTCTCTTATTATAAAAAAAGAACAGGGCATATAACCTTTTAGAAAAACACCTTTTGATAAATATTTCCATATTGAAAAGCATGCTCTGTGGGTATGAGTGATCAAGGGGAGATGCAAATAGCATTTCCAAACACCCAGGTTTGTATCTGCCTGGCAGAGAAGTCTGGACTATCTGTAGCACCTTGGAAAATGCATTAAAAATCACAAAGGTACATTACTTAAAAACTAACCTTGCATAAGGTTAACATAGTCCACAGTAACAAAGAACAATGATGCAGAGACAGAAGTTTGTAAATTACTGGCTTATGAGATTTAACTAGCAAGAAAATTTCTGTCTTAATTATAGTAGCACATCTCATGTACATAAAGCACCAGTTTAAAAAAGATTATCGAACACCTCCGGCATCTTGCCGCTCAGCCTGAAAATTCATTTCTCATCACTTGCCATGTTACACCCCTAAAGCCGAGGAAGATGAAATTCAAACGGTGATAGGTACTGAAAGAGAAATTCAGTTCCTTCCCTATCGAGTGTATGTCTCTCAAGTAAAACAGACGAAGTAACAACATTTAAAAGGTCTGCTGCATTCCCTGGAGCCCACCATCCCAGCAGAGTAGGTTCTGCCTATCAGAGAACTAACACACAGGGTGAGGAGGCCAAAGCCAGGGTTGAATGCCCTGTCACGTAAGGCCAGGTTGGTCTTGCTGCTCAAGGCCACACTCTACGTTTGTACTAGAAAGCAACTCTCACAAACGATCACCATTGGTAAAGAGGTCTGAGTGTGAACGTGACTCCAGAGGCTTAACTTCACATGAAAATCCACACATCTGCCTCTTTACCAGTGGCGACTTATTAACAGCATGCCCTTCTTAGGCATAAGAGGGGTAATGGTGTTTCTAGGTTTATGCACAGTGAATAATCAAATATAAATATTCAGACTGTTGCATTTCTTAAATTACAGTTTAAAAGTGACACCCCCCAAAAAATCACTTTCTTCCTAAATGAAAAAGCCTTTATAAAATGCTGGAATGATGGTTCATTCAAATACAAAAACTCATATACAAAAAAATCCTAAATGTTCCTTCCAAACTACCTAGGTTCATACAGTTGATTCTACCACACAACTGTACTATGGATACATCACCAGAGGAAAACACTAATAAAATACTTCAGTTAGCAAACTGAGGGCCACTTCCTGACAACTGCAATAAAACTGCAGCATTGGAGCAGGGCTGAGAAGCACCGTGCCTAAGCAAGGTTTCCTCCCTCCTGTTCTTGCATCCCACAATGATTGTTGAAGGAAGGAATCTGGTCCGTAAACGATTGGCTCATCCACTGCCCATTGGGAACATCACTGAAAGTCGATTCTCCACAGTCAGCTGCTGGCGGGGAGGAAGGGGAGAGAGAGAGTGTTAGTTTCTTACATTTAAAAGCTTTAAATCAGTGGTTCTCAACCTTCCTAATGCCGCGACCCTTTAATACAGTTCCTCATGTTGTGGTGACCCCCAATTTCATTGTTACAAATTGAACATAATTAAAGCATAGTGATTAATCACAAAAACAATATGTAATTATATATGTGTTTTCCGATGGTCTTAGGCGACCCCTGTGAAAGGGTTGTTTGACCCACAGGTTGAGAACCGCTGTTTTAAATGATCAAATTAGGGGATTTTAACTGTCCAGTGAATGACAACTGTTATTAGAATAGTTAAGTACGCTTCTTCTTCTTTTTAAATATATATAATTGATTTCAGAGAGGAAGGGAGAGGGATAGATAGAAACATCAATGATGAGAGAGAATCATTGATTGGCTGCCTCCTGCATGCCCTCTCCTGGGGACTGAGCCCACAACCCAGGCATGTGCCCTTGACTGGAATGGAACCTGGGACCCTTCAGTCCACAGGCCGACACTCTATCCACTGAGCCAAACCAGCGAGGGCAAGAAGCTTCTTGAATACAGTATATTTCTGTTCTATTTTCAGATACCAGACTAATAAGTCCTCATTTGTTATCCAAGGAGGAAAATGTAACTAAGATGACTTACTGTAGTTAGTGACTTAAAAGTAAAGGGGCTGTAAGTTTGTGTAAACACATAAATAACCATCACATTTTCTCTACGAATCACTAACCAGATTTTTATATAATAATTCCCATTCTTCAATAATTTACTCTTTTTAAAAGAACTTCCCCTACCCCTCAATCCTGACAAAAGCAAGTCTTTGAGAGAACAAACATAGGGAGGGGACATACTTAGCCCATTTGAAGAGAAGCTGCAAGGTTCACCATTGCATGGATTTGCACCATAAGCACCGCCATATGCTGCTTCATAACCCGGATCATATTTTTCTTCCTTAACAGCCATCTTCTTTGCATCCTCTGTGGGGAGGGCAAAAGAGATTTAAAGTTAATTTTGTACCACACGTTTAAGAGATAGCTTTATTCAGAAATCATGAGGAAGAAATCTTTTTCTTAAATATTCATGTACACTGAGATATGCCTTTTGCTATGTATGACCTTTTGCACTCTTCGTAACATATACTATATTAACTCATAAGAACTATGAGTTAACACTATCTTAACTCTTACAGCCTATAAGATTTAATTTTGCGTGGGTTACAATGTTTCTTACATCCTCAACATCTGTAAGAGCACGGGAAGACCTCAGTAAAAGGAGATTCTAACAGTGACTAACAGCCATTATCAGAGCACTCTGGCTGCAGATATAACTGCTTTCTCCTCTCCTGCTTTTAAATCCACAACATACTTTCTGGAGTGTATGCAGACATGAAATGAAAACAAGGAGCAATAACGGGGACACACCTTGGGCAAGCTGCAGGTCAAATGTATACTGAACTTCCTGAACGTCTGTGTTTCGTTCAATGCCTTTCAATTGATCTCTTAAGTCTTTCAACTTAATGTAGTAATGAACTTTGTCCTGGGCTCGGGGAAACTGAGCACATCTTGCACTGGATGATGGCATCACATAGCAGAGCTAGAATCATAAAATTGGACAGTTATAGAGATCTGTTCAACCCACTGCTACGGAGAGAGAAAATGTGTCTTTCTCTGGGTTCATGACTTGATACTTATTACTTTAGCAGTTTATGCAAAATTAACATACGTGGTTGAGTTTTTCTTTTCACAGCATAAATTACAACGGGTAGGACAAATAAAAAAGGTCAACTGGCTAGAAAAAAAATCCACATTGAGCTGATCTGCAAATATAATTTTAAGGACTTACAGTTTCTGTGTCTGGGATCTTGTGGGGTTGAAGTCCAAATTCTAAGTTCTTAACTTTTACTCCAAAAACTTCTTTACTAAAAATTTCATAAATACCTAAAATGAAATGCAAACATATTTACATTGTCCATAATGTTAGCAAAGAAAAAAGATAAAATTTAAAAGCAAAACCTTACATTTTCCATTAAACACTGCTATTCGTGGCTGATATTTCTGTAATTTCTGCACTAGAATACGTCCTCCTTCACGAAATTCTTTACTAAAATTAAATTAAAAAGTCATAATATAAGTATGGCAATATTTATACTATACTAAATTCAGATAGCTTTCCAAGAAAGATCAAATCACATACTGTTTGTCAAGTTCAGCTAACTAGACACATATGGTATTCCTAGGGTGTATGAGGGACCAGCACGGCCAAGGTTCAGCCTATAAAAATAAATGTTATGTAATTACCTGGAGAGGTCCTTGCTGCCTGGTGTTGTCCTTTCCACCATATTGGTAAATCCAATACCATATTTTCCTGGTAAAGTGTGATCATCCATATGGTTCAGTTGGACCTCACTCAGTCCTGACATAAATAGACACTTCCCTGTGAGAAAGAGAGTTTATTTATTCCCATAGAAGGTCAAAGGTTTCTGCCCTACGGGTTGATGTAGTAGTCTATTTTTTAAAAATTGTTCTTCTTTATTTTAAAAAATATATTTTATTGATTTTTTACAGAGAGGAAGAGAGAGGGATAGAGAGTTAGAAACATCGATGAGAGAGAAACATCGATCAGGTGCCTCCTGCACACCTCCTACTGGGGATGTGCCTGCAACCAAGGTACATGCCCTTGACTGGAATCAAACCTGGGACTCTTCAGTCCGCAGGCTGACGCTCTATCCACTGAGCCAAACCGGTCAGGGCATGCTCTCTTATATTTTTATAGTTGACAGTATTATAGATGTCCCCCATTTGCCCCTCTCCACCCAGTCCCTACCCCACCCCAGGCCGTTATGGCATTACTGTTTGTCTCCATGGGCTAAGCATATATACATATATATTCTTTGATTAATCCCTTCCAGTCCCTTTCCACCTTCCTCCCCTCTGAGATCTGTCCATT